CTCCTGGTCTTTATCAAAATACTAAAATAGTTGTCTTTCTTTATCTCTAACTTTCACAAGTTGTTTAAAAGATAATTACTTAAATGCACCAGACATAGTTGTTTTAACAGACGAGAAGACCGAGTTATCTTTCAGTATTTAAATGCACCAGACATAGTTTGTGTGGAAAACAGAGACAAACCAACCATTTTTAGAAGATTCCTGCAAATGTTTGTGCTTTGGCTAGGCTTCAAGAATAGTTCTGTAACTGTGATCTTGTGACATCCATGCTTTGGTGTAACAGATTGAATCAAATGGAACCGTGCTATCTACAAACTGGAATGAAGTTGGTTCGAAGAAGGTCGAAGGAAGCCCGCCTGATGGCATGGAGGTGAAGAAATGGGAGTACTGATAATCTTTCGAATTTTCTTCATTTGCCATGTTTCTTTGACAACAATCATTTTGTCCCATGTCTTCTTGGTTGTGCTTGAACTTGTTCATATCTTCCTCTTAGCTCAGTCCAAGTTGAGAGTTTCTTCTATTCAAGAATTTCAAGTTTGGTTTTTTGTTATGATACTAGTGGCCTAAATTTGAGTACTGTGGGTGGTCTTTTTTTGTTCAGTTTTCATGTCCTTTTTAGCAGCCTTCTTGCTGTTTGATTAATATTTTGGTTTTGAGTCTGAATTTTTATTTGGAGTTACCTGTTTGAGATCTTGCATTGTCTTATGGGCAAGTGTGGTTTGGTTTGAAACTGATGGAGCTCTTTAACATGATGGTGCTCTCTAGTAAAATAACAAAAAATTGGGGATGCTTGGATATAAGATGTTTTGATTTTGTTTGAATTTATTAGTTTAGTATGATTAATTTTGAATAAAGTGGTATGGTTAGTGAGATTTTTAGTTTATATTAAAATAATTAAAATTGATTTGATGTAAAAATAGGAAAGACGAGTGAAGTGATGAATATTAAAATTATATGAGTGAATTCAAGTTTATGTAATGTATAAGAATGATTAGATGATATTATTTAATTATTAGTATTCGATCTTGTGTATTTGTACATATGTAAATAAAGTATTTTAAGTTATTTGTATGCATATAATTCTAAAATTATAAGTTAAATACTGATATTATATTTTAAAAATAGAGTATTATAAGTTATATTTATGCATATAATATTAAAATTATAAGTTAGGTAAAGGTATTATGTTTTAAAATTCGACCATTGGTTAAAAATAAATAGTATATAATGATTTGATTGTATGTGAATCATTATATTGATTGCATAAAATATAATAAATAGCATAATTTTTATAATTTTGATGGATCATGACAAATTAATTAGCTAAAAAATATTAATTTTATTATGACAATTGCTTATGCGATTTTAAAGAATTTTACTATGTCATTAAAATAAATTAATATATTAAATAACAATTGTTTAATCAGATAAAAAATATGATAACGATTTTGTAATAAATAACTTGAACAAAAAAATTTTACAATATAAGTTTTTATGGTTATGTAACTTTTATATATCATTTAGTGTAATATAACTTCGTTTCGTTCGATGTTATTAACCTTTTCTTTCCCTAGTCAATGGAGTTGACCATAAACTCTTTTAGGAGAAAATATCAGATGGAGTTAACTGGTGAAGATTATTCAGATAGTATGATAATGATTTTGTAATAAATAACTTGAACAAAAAGTTTTTACAATATAAGTTTTTATGGTTATGTATCTTTTATATGTCATTTAGTGTAATATAATCATTAATTTTAATAATAACTATTATATGATACAATAAAAAATATAATTATTATTCAATATAAAATGTAACGTTTTTGTCTTAATTATAAAAAGAAAACAAATAAAATTGCTAGAAAATATTTTGTCATTAATGGGATAAGGAAAGTGCCATGTAGGTAAAATTTATTAAGTTTTATTTACGAAGTTTTATTTAATGATTAGCTAACAATTATATATATATATTGATAATATTGAGGAAAGTAGAGTTGAGTTAAAGTCGAGTTAGATTTGAGTTAAAAGAGTGATTTGTTAAAAGTGATTGAATTTTTTTTTTTGGAAAAGCTTGTATTCAAGTATGCACTTATTGTTGTATTTTTTTTACACTATATATAAGAATTATTGAACTTTTCTCTTAAAAAAACTAATAAAATGAGGTATTTTATAATACCTCTTTTTTTTCCTTTTTCTTTTCTTCACCTTACCAACTCTTGAAGCCCTGACCTCTTGGATGAAAAGTACATCCATCAACCACCAAGGCCAAGTTTAGTTGGTGTTAGAATAATGAATTCGCTTAATGTAACCAAAAAGTACGACAACGCAAGATGCGGAACTCAACTCGTGACGCTTTAACTATTCAAGTACTTATAATATTTCTTCTCATTCAAACGAAACATACAATTCTTTTGTGTATTATTCGTAGCAAAGTTGAATACAAAACAGAAGAAGAATGTGAGAACAATTGCTCAAGCACAATTGATTCATTTACTAAGAATAATTTCACTCATGAAGTAAACTACGGTCATGCTTTGACAAAATTTTCTTTTTCCCGTTAATACAAAATTCAATTTAGTTAAGGTCCATCATGGTAGACGAAAGTATGCAAAATCTAACCGAAACCAAAAAAATCAAGACGAACTGATGAGATTGGTGCGATAAATTCGATTGTTTAATTAGTTCACTTTTGGTGCGATTTGATGATTAAGAAACCACATAAATAAATTATGGTGCACTTCAAGTTTGTGCCAATTCAATATAATATGATGTTATTTCAGTAGCAAAGTCAGCCCTGAGACATACCTAGTTGGGCTGATGTTATTTCAGTAGCAAAGTCAGCCCTGGGGCAGACCTAGTTGGGCGACCGCACAGAACCCACAAATTTTGTGGGTCCATTTTATTTATTAAAAGAAAAATATATTTTACCATTATTTAATTTTAGGTTCCGTTTGTTTTGAGGGATTTATCGAGAGATTTGATATCCATAGATTTCAAATTAACAAGTTCAAATGCTCATGCATGTTGGGATGATAATGAAAGTTGGAGGATTTCAAATTCATGTTAGATGTTTTTTAGTCATTATTTTGAAGGATTTGAAATGACTCATAAAACCTAGTCATTTGAAATCCACTGTTTATCACCATTGACGACCACGCCGTCCGCGATCATTTAAGTTCATCACCACCGCGAGTCAACACCATCGATGCGAGCTAGACAATTTATTTATAATATTTTCAACACATCCATTCAAGGAGTGTGCATGTAAAAAAAAATTATATTTCAAAAATTTTGAAATCAAGGGATTTCAAATCACTCAAAACAAACGGAGCCTTAAAATATTGAGTTTTATTTTCACTTATTTTCGTACAACTATATATATTAAACAAAGTTCAATGTTCTATTGCTTTGTATTTAGATAATTGGTTCATCATGGATGGACAGAAGATCATTGTTGCGTCAATTTTGTTTGAACCGCTTGTTTCCTCCTAAACCGGATTCAGTCTCCTCGATCGTCGGTACCAGCAATACGCCGGGGGTGGTCCCGGCGCAAACACTTCGACGCTCAAGTTAGTAGGGTTCTTTAGAGGAAGAATGTATTATATTTATTTGTGCTCTATCAAATTAAGAGAAAACCTGCCCTTTTATAGACTCGAGAGTCCCCTCAACTAATGGGACTCTAGGTGCCGACAGAATCCTTCTGCTATCTGTCTCTTCATCCCACTTTTTATCAGACTTCTATCCTCCCTCACCTTCGTCAAATTGGTTAAGAGACCCACGTGCGCGGGACTCACTTTCGCAGCCTAGTATTAGCTCGGTCTCTGATACCTAAGCTTCTTCCCATCGCGCCGAGCTGACGCATTGAATTCTTATGCCGAGCACCGAGCTAGTCATCAACACCCTAGATCAATAGAACAAGCTCTTAGCACCTTCAACTGATGAAGCCGTGCTGTACACCCGCTGAGCTTTCGATAGATCCGACCGGGTTTCCCCGCTAAACCCACGAGCTATACTTATGCTATATCATCTAGGCCCCCTGGTTTTTGATGACGAGCTGCCACGACTCGATCAGAAAAAATGCAACTATTCAAGCGAGTGAGATCCACGCCCTCGTCAGGGCGTGGCACTGCCTTTTCTCATTCCTGTTTCTCGAATCTGCCACGACGCGCCCTAATCTCTAACGAGCGTCATCATCACGCCTAAACCTAATGATGGAAATACATCGAAACTCGCCCCTGACGCTCCTCTCACCACTTACGAAGTCGAGGTGGTCAATTGTGATTGGCCGTCCCTTCCTCTATCAGTTTCTTTGTCCACACGCCTCATTTTCCCACCGTAGATGGCCCTTTGAAATCAACAGCCTTGATTTAACCGACCCACCATCTTCGCTCACCCCTTCCAGTATAAATATCAGAGGTTACGACTCATTTTTCTTTCACTTCCTTCTCTAGCTGCTGTCCAATACCTACCGCAAGCAATCATTTTCTCTTGCCATCTTTCTGAACGAACAACACCATCCTCTCCCTCTGCAACTATGTCATTTTTCGGTAAGTATTTTTATGCAACTCATTACTCCATGCACCCCATAAGTGTCGTCAATTTTCTCTTATTTAGTTTCGCTGTTTTGTTATGTTTACTCTGTCCTGGCTGACGTCACATGCGACCTACCCTCATTAGAACACCAACCTTCCATTAACTCGAATTCTCGCTCCCCTTCCAACTCAAAGCCTCAAGGGGAATCCTCAACGGCCACCACCAAAGTAACCCAATCCTCCACTTTCGCCAATAACAAAGGCAAAGCCATAGCCCCCAATGCTCCCGTTGCCAGGTCGGCCCCACGGAACCCACTCTCCACATACTCTACCGACAGAATAACCAAGATTTTCGAGGAAATCGAGCTTCCCCAAGGATGGACTCTTAAGGTTCCCCGCCCCGGAAACACCTATACCAATCCCCCGCCTGACTATTATACCTTTTTCCTTGACCAGGCCGTTGCCGGGATGAAATTCCCCCTCCGCGACGACCTGGTAGAACTCAGTAAACTATACCGTCTTCCCATTAACCACTTTTCGCCCAACGCCATTAGACTGCTCGTAGGCTTCATAATGGTGTGCCGAGCTCGTCTAGGACGACTGGACCCAGAGCTGTGCTTCTACTGCCTTTGGATGAAACCCCTAGGCACGTCGTATTATCTATCCACCCGCTATGGTGCAGAATTCCTCGGCCAACCCCAATAAAAAATCCACAATTGGAAGAATAAATTTTATTACCTTCGCCCTCCGCCAAACACCTTTGACTTTCAGCCCACTTGGATCCACGAGCTTCCTGATCAATGACCTAAACCTCCCCCGAACTCCGCATTTGATGCCATCGTCGCCCGATGGAACGAGCACGCCATGGAGCTGGTACCCATAACCTCCGACATTCGTCTCGTCAAACACTTTAACTTATCCAGCCATCCAGCCGAGGCCATAGAGGACGTTGGTAGGTGTTTTAATCTGACTTTCCCATCATATTTTCTTGTAATATTTCGACTTATATTATCCTTTCTTGCAGAGGCTGCATTCAGCTCGGCGTTCTCGTCTACCACGGCGTCCGTACAACCGACGCCAACTGCAGCGCTGGTGGCAGGCGAGATAACCGCCCCCGAGTAGTCAACCCCCGCCGGGCAGATCACCCCGGCCGCTGAGCAGACGCAACCTGGCGCCAACAAGCGCGCCTCTGCCAAGCAAACCCCCATGCCCCCGCCCAAATTGTCCAAG